CCCCAAAACCCCAAAACCCCAAAACCCCAAAACCCCATAGCAGGGTAAATTCAAGGTTTTAACAAGTCAGTAAATCTCAGTAAATCAAGTGTTATTATCTATTAGGTAAATCAGATAATGCCTCATTATTTATACTGTATATGTTAGAGTCAATTAAGAATTAATATTTAAAGATTTATGTTCAAAGGCAAGTTATTGTCACTCTCAACACTATTTATTGCACTTATCAGCAGTGTGCAATCAGCGATTCATTATAATCAAGGAGGAAGTGATTGGACAGGAACATGCGCCACAGGCAAAAGTCAATCACCAGTAGACATCCCAGTTGATAATATTTCTGGGTCCTCAATTAATTCAAAATACTTTAGATCCAACAAGCTTCTTGATATCATGGTCTCCTAAAAATCAATGAGTAACATAACTCTTCAAGACAACATATATACTTACTAATATTCTTTTTCTGATGGTTACTTGGCATTCTGGGATGAGAATGATTCTCTTTAAACATTTCAATTGCTGCAGTTTCATGTGCATGCTCCCTCTGAGCATACCTTTAATGGACAATACTATGATGTTGAAGTACACTTTGTTCACAAGCATACTACCGAGAATCGACTGGTTGCTTTCTCCGTATTATTTGATACTAAAGCCGGAGGTGATAAGGAGAACGAATTCATTAAGTCCATGAGTGTCGGAGCCTAAAATTAGTCAGTTATTTCAACATTACCAGCCATGAATTTATTCAAAAAGTTAGACATGAATTAACTATATCACTATGAGGGGTCTCTTACTACTCCACCTTGCAATGAAATTGTATCCTGGATTATCGTCCACGATCCTCAGCAGATCTCGTCTGCGTAGGTCAAGGCTTTTAATGATAAATGGAAAAATAATTAGACTTTTGCAGCAGGAAAGGGGAATAACCGTGGAATATAAAATTTAAATCAAAGACTAATTTATAAAAAAGATGATCCGAGAGCAAGCAATGGAGTAAATTTAATAGCATCGATATTACCATTATTTGTATTGCTCTTTGGATTCTTTTGATATTTAGGTTTATGTTAGTATTCTATAATATAGCTTAATGCAAAATTTAACCTAACTTATACACTTTAAATACTAATTGATGTCTAGATTTGTTCCCATAAACATTTTAATCATATAATGCTAATAGATATTAATTCAATATAAAATAATATAGTCACAAATCATTAATTAGTGCACTAATTTACTTCAAATTATTTAATCAGCTTGGGGTTTTGGGGTTTTGGGGTTTTGGGG